CACTCTCTCCCTATTTATTTCGGAACCCCCTTCCCCTCCCCCTTTTCTGATGAAGGGTCTAGGCCCGAAACGTCAGCCTCTCTGCTCCTATGATGCTGCTTGGCCTGCTGTGTTCATCCAGCCCTGCACCTTAGTTTCAACTCTGAAACTGCTTGTCAGATGCCAAAGCCAGTGTGATTTTGTTTAGACTGTCTTTTGACACCTATGGAACAAGAAAGAATGAAAAATTCCAAATTGCTGCTGTAAGCTATTTTTTTTTACAAAGTCATTCTTTGATTACATGTCCAATTCTGTCAGGTCATGTATTCAAGACAACAAAAACAAACAAATGAAAGTAAATGGAATTTTACGAAGGTGTGACATCCTGCTGTGGTTTTAGGTGTGTCGCAGCAAGATCAGAACAGCAAAGGGTGTCAGATGGTGTAGCAATTTATTCAAATATTATTGGTTGCTCTGTCAGAACAAGCATGTTATCATGTCTACATCAAGCCCTGTCAATTCAACTTCAATTGCTGAACCTTGTCAGCGAACAACATTCTTTGTTTTTAATCTGAAGTTTTACAATACTCGGATGATTGGTTAGTAAAACATTCTGCCTGAGTAAATGGTCATTCTGTTAGGTTATCAGATTTGTCACCTGAAAGGATCTTAGATGGCACCTTGCCACTTCTTCATGCTTTTTTACATCAATGTTTCTGTCTGAAGTGCAGGAAATTTCAAGATAACTCATTCATTGCTAAGCACTTTACATGGATAAATATGGCATCAATCCCTATACGCAGCAGGATCCCTGGAACGGCAAATGAATGATCAGAACAACAACAGGATGCATTTATATAGGGCCATTAATGTAAAATAAGATATGCCAAGGTGTGTACACATGGTGAAAGATGTTACCATTCAGCGTTAACCCTATTATTTAACACCAATTTAATAGCGTGCCTTCCAACGAGCCCTCCCATCCACCACAAGTCACCTCATCTCCCAGAAGAGGCAAGAAACAGAGAAAGAAATGTAGGCTGATCCCGGAAATATAGCTTTGGGAAATTTCTCTCTGAAAGTGAAGTTCCTTTTGGCCACACTAAAACATCTTCCCTGATACCTGACCTACATTTGTATATTGCCATGTCAGAGACTTGACCAGCTCCTAAGAAAGCTCCGGCAAATTTGCATCTGTTGAACGAGCTGTCTGCGAATTAGGAAGACCTTCTTACATCCAGCCCAATGCTTACCTAACTGAAAACAACAAATGCTGGAGATCACACTGCGTCAGGCAGCAACCATGGAGAGAGAGCAAGCTAACATTTCAAGTTTACATGACACTTTACAGAGCTCTGATGAAAAGTCATCTAAACTCGAAATGTTATCTTGCTCTCTCCCCATGGATGCTGTCTGACTCGCTGTGATCTCCAGCATTTATTGTTTTCAATGCAGATTCCAGCATCTGCAGTAATATGCTCCTGTGCTTACCTAACTGATATGTCTGTTTCCGACTCAGCTTCTCGGCTCTAAGAGTTTGTGCATGTGGACCAGATTTAATTAATTCATTGCTTTAAACACCTCAGTCAAATTTCCTGATCCATTCTTTAAGATAAATGTACAAAATTACTGTCTGGTATTGCACTAACACATGCTCAAATGCAGGCAGCTGTTATGGAGCTAATTTTATTTACACCCTCCTAACAGAGAGAGCAGTAGCCCACAATGAATCCACACCTTGATTTTTCCCATAAGGCCCACAGGGATCCTCTGAAGACCATCCCGCCCAGACTCATCTCCCTGGCCTATCCCTGTAACCCCACATTTCCCATGGCTAATCCACCTAGTCTACACATCCCTGAACACTAGGGGCAATTTAGCATGGCCAAGCCACCTAAACTGCACATCTTTGGACTGTGGGAGGAAACCGGCGCACCCGGAGGAAACCCATGCAGACACAGGGAGAATGTGCAAACTCAACACAGGCAACTCTAGTTGAACCTGGGCCTCTGGTGCTGTGAGGTAGCAGTGCTAACCACTGAGCCATGCTTCTTGGATATCCTATAATGCAAATCCAGAAAATCATTAATTTCTGGAAAGTCTGTCGTTCTGTGTTTTTACGGGCAACGATAGTTAAACACATTATGGGGAAATATTGATTTTATTCTGATCTCATATTATTTGCTTTCAGCCAAATGTGTGACTTCCATTTATAATTATCCAAGTCCTCTTTGTGAGGGTAAACTTCCCCAATGGCCCCAAAAATGCCTTCAGTTCCCTTTTGCTGTGATGTGCTGCTTTACCACATGCCTGGACATGACATGGGCTTAGAACAATGTTTCAAACTGCCTAAACCTCTTCAAAACCAAAGTTATGTATTCCAAAGATGTGACACAATGTTCTTCAGTCTTTAATTTTGCAAATGGTATGTAAAAGAACATTCCACTCCACCTTTGGTATCATTTTACTGCTGTCGGTTGAACTATGACTAACTATGATCAAATCCAGATAACTATTAATGAACAAACTTTATTTACATGTCCTAACAAAGGGATAATATAACAAAATGCTCAAATCTTGCAATATGCTACACTCTCTAGGCGTCTTGTTTTTGGATTTAAGATTCTTAAACTAAAAGGCATACTGGCTCAATGGTTAGCATTGCTACCTCACAGTACCAAGGACTCAGGCTTGATTCCACCCTCGGGTGACTGTCTGTGTGGAGTTTGCATATCCTTCTTGTTGTCTACGTGGGTTTTCTCTGGGTGCTCCAGTTTCCTCCCACAGCCCAAAGACGTGCAGGTTAGATGGATTAGCCATGGTTAACACAGGGATAGGTGGGGGGAGGGGGAGTGGTTAGGCTGCCCTTTGGAGGGTTGGTTTGGACTCGATGGGCCAAATAGCCTGCATCTTCTCTATAGGGATTCTAATATTGTGAGCAGGGAGAATAGGAAAACCAGCTCCTATTTTTTCATCCTCCTTGACTGATCAGAATCAAGGTTTAAATACTTTTCAAGAGGCTATACCATTCTCCAGTTAATATGTAATTGGTTTATTTTTACTGCAAACAATAAGGAGCCAATCACAATTACATTCTTGAGTTAAAAAAAACAAATTTATTACCTGCTAACCCCAGGAAAAGTAATAAAGATATGCATTAATCATATGACGTCTGTACATTCACATGACTCAGAAAAACATAAGTATGCAAAGCTAAAAGTACAAAAGTAGTTAAAAGAATTAGTTTAGAAACCTTTGAGTATCCTCGAAGCATAAAGTTTTAACCACATACTACAGTTGGTTTGTTAGATTCTTGCACTGTCAGTTATCCTTGACATGCTTGGCTCTCTGAAGATCCTTTACAGTCACTGCTGTCACACCTGGCATGATGCTTCTTGTTAAGAAAGATGTATCTCAGCCTGTGTTCAGTCTTCCATCCTATAAGCTACTTCCTCTACTCTGCTCAATTCGCACCTTGAAGCAGTAGCTTTTTTAATATATACTCCATGTCTGCTGAAGTTATGTATGCAGGCTTGTTAATTGTCGAAAGGCTTCAGCTCCAACATGTGATGATTCTCATAATGGTGTAAGTCGAATAGGGAATTAGAATCTTTTCAAGCTATCCATGGGGTGCTTGGCTGACAGTTTCTATCACCCTTGTTTACAGTGTCAATTTCAGGTTAGACTGTTTTTGATCTAACTCAAGTTAGTTTCATAAAATTTGACCAGCCTGTGTGATTGCTGTGGCCATTTTAAGTCAGTGTTTTGCTGTCTTTTTAAAACTTCAGTCCCAGCTATTAAATTGACAATGGAATTCAAAGAACAATAGTTTACATTTTATATCATTATGACATTAAATGTCAATTAAGTGGCTTTCCATATTGCCCACCCTGAGGGGGGACTAAAATTGGACATGGTATTCTAGATGAGGCCAGACTAGAATCTTACGTTGGAAAAGCTGTTTTAAGAGAGAATGCTTGATAGATGCTTATCCTACTGTCTCATCTGAAGAGCCATGATGTGGAGGTCCCAATGTTAGACTGGGGTGGACACTTCCTCAGAACGGTCACTGGACCTGAAACATTAACTCTGATTTCTCTTCATAGATACTGCCAGATCTGCTGAGCTTTTCCAGCCCAACATCTGCTTTTGTTTCTGATTTACAGCATCTGCAGTTCTTACGGTTTTCATCGTACTGAGCCTTGTTCATTTGCCTAAGCCTATTGAAACTTTAAAATTATAACCTTCTTGCTCAGAGATGGCATCAATGGTGAAATACTGGAGCTAATCATCATGAGATGGGCAGGAAATTCTTTCCTACAAATGCACATCATATAAAAATGACTGGCAGTTAGCTAATTCTGCATATTTCTGATGTGTGAAGCAGAAATGCCTCAGTACAATATTTGCAGTCCTATTTTTCTGTGCTGTGTTCTGGTGTTGACATTAGAGTGCACAATTGTGAACTATTTAGAAGTGTGAATCTGAAGTTGAGGACAATGCTAGAGACATTCTTTCCCATGACATAAATCATAATTACAAGTTAAAAATCATAGCACACAATACGACAATCTTACTTTTGCTGCCTCTGACTGTGAACATGCATCCACCTGAGATGATCAGTCAAAAAAATTGTAGTTCCAGACAAGGTGAATGACCAAAGATGACAGTGACCTCAGTAAACAAACTGAGGTCACAATCCAACTAGAAGATTGTAAAACTAATTTTCCATGTCTCCATTGCCAAGTGTTAAACAGGCAGAGTATGAGCTTCATGTCCAGGCCTCTTGCAGACTCCATATTTAGTAGACTGGATTATTAAGGTGGTTTTACCACATCCCTGGTCTCTGCAAGATCTTACACCAGGAGACATGAAGGATTGGGAACCAACCTCAAGGATACCCCTTTGTCTTCTCCAAAAGCAGCCAGAAAGCCTCTAACCTTAAAGAATTGTTAGAAAGCTGCAAGGGAAAGGAGACATGTTCTGCTATGACCTCTCTGCTCTTCTGTTTCAATTCTTAGGAACCCCAGGGTGGAATTCAGCTTCAGGTTGACAATATCTAACTTCTCAGGAATGTTTGTTTCTTGGACCCTCCTGCAAGGCAGCACAATATAAACTGGATGATTGTAACTCAAATGAAAATGGATTAAATGTATAAGTTCAAATAAGTGAAAATTTTACATTAAAAGAAGACTTTTCTGGGATTTTTTGAATTTTATGTCTGGTTGGTGATCAAGTAATTCTCAAGACCTTCATCTTGCTGAATAATTTATTACAGGACATGAAGTGAAATGGAAAATGTTTAGTTAGTTTAAGTTTTCTTATTTCAATGGTAATTCAGTAAGAAATAGGTATGCTGTCTTGGGAGAATTTAGCTCCAATTCTTATTTACAGAGCTGAGAATGATGACAAAATTAGGTTAATTTTATTTGTTTATGAATGGACAGAATATCACATAGTTGACAAATAAGGCCCATTGGCATTTGTATCTAACAGGAAGCAGCAAACCACCAGTAACGTGCCTCAGGATATGACTGTGTTTGGTTCATCAATAAGACAATCACAGAGGGTGAGTGAAGTTGCCTAGCCTAATCAACAAGTTCACATTTCGAGCTTATATACTTTAACAATGGTGTATCAAGAAATTGAAGGTAAAGCTTTGCCTGAACCATATAGAGATGAGCAGCATTTGACACCACAGCTCAATAGAAGCCAGTTCAGCTCCCAAAGATTCAAGACATTGCCATAAAGAAGATATTGCCTTGTCTGAAAATCTAGCACACTATAAGGAAGAATCAACAGAATAGTCATCTTCTAAGGTGGACATTCATGCAATTAAATGTCTACCAGATGAAGTTAGCACGAAAAAGTTCCTTTGAAAAGAAAAGTCAGGATATTAAAACTCTTCTGGCAGGTACAATATCCTCCATGAAAAATATCCAAGAGATAAAAGATGTTCCAGTGGAGAACAGTACAATCATTCCTCTAATTAGGAACGTTAACATACAGATGGATCTCTTAGGAACATTAAAATAAAGACGGATCTGGGCGTGCAGGTCCACAGTTCCCTAAAATTGGCAACACAGGTAGCCAAAGTGATTAAGAAGGCATATGCTTGCTTTCATCAGCCGGGGCATGGAGTGCAAGAATTGGCAAACCATGTTGCAACGATATAAAACCCTTGTTAGGCCACATTTGGAGTATTGTGTGCAGTTTTGGTCATCACATTACCAGAAGGATGTGGAAGCTTTGGAGAGAGTGCAGAGAAAGTTCACCAGGATGTTGCCTGGTCTCCAGGGCATTGACAATGAGGAAAGGTCGAAAAGACTAGGATTGTTTTCACTGGAAAGACGGCAGCTGATAGATGTCTACAAAATTATGACAGGCGTAGATAGGGTGGATAGTCAGAGGCTTTTTCCCAGGGTTGAAGTTTCAATTACAAGGGGGCACAGGTTCAAGGTGGGAAGGCAAAAGTTTAAGGGAGATGTGCGAGGAAAGTTTTTCATGCAGAGAGTGGTAGGACCCTGGAATGCACTCCAGAGGAGGTGGTGGAAGCAGGCACATTGGCGACATTTAAGAGGCAACTGGATAGTTAAATGAATAGGGAGGGAATAGAGGGATACAGATTGAATGTGGGCAGAAGGTTTGTTTTTTAGTTTAGTCCGGGCCTGATGATTGGCACAGGCTTGGAGGGCTAAAGGGCCTGTTCCTGTGTTGTACTTCTCATATGTTCTTGTTTTAATCACAAATTCTCTCTTTTTTCATGCTCACACTCCTCCAATCACAACTTTCCTCTTTCCCAATCCTGGTGTTCCTCCAGAGATGGAGAATTTTTAATAATTAATTCATGGGATGTGGCTCGACCAGAGTCAGCAACATTGCTATAGGTCCAGAGTCATACGTAGCCTAGACCAGGTAAGGGCAGTTGCCTTTCCTAAACAGTATTAATGAACCTGATGGAGTTTTCCTGACAATCGGCAACAGTTTCATGGTCATTATCAGATTTTTTTTTAAAAATAAAATTTAAGTTCCACCCTTTTCATTTCTGATGAAGGGTCTAGGCCCGAAACGTCAGCCTTTCTGCTCCTATCATGCTGCTTGGCCTGCTGTGTTCATCCAGCTCTGCACCTTGTTGTCTTGGATTCTCCAGCATCTGCAGTTCCTACTGTCTCTGATTCAATTTTAACCCCACTGCGAAGCCTCTTCTAAGGATGCCTAGCCTGAAGAAGTTACCCTCCTCCCTCCGGACAAACCTCAGGGGATCTCTCTCCCACTGCAACTCTCTCGTAATCTCTTCGGCCTTGAAACTGCTTGACCATGTCCTGAAGCAAACCAGGTACTACTGCCACATCACCTTTCTTAGTACCTGCCTACGGAACCAGATCATCCCCAGTGGACTACAATCCACATTCAAGCCTTCCCAATTTGGCCCCAACTGTGACAATATCTACATTCATAGCATTGAGATCCTTCAGAAGCGTTTCTCCCTGCGAGTTCCCATTTCTGATGAAGGGTCTAGGCCCAAAACGTCAGCCATTCTGCTCCTATGATGCTGCTTGGCCTGTTGTGTTCATCCAGCTCTGCACCTTGTTGTCTCTTAAGTTCCACCCTGGTGGTTTTGGAACACGGGTCGCCAGATTATTAACAACCAAAACAGAAATTTCTGGAAATGCTCAGCAGGTCTGGCAGCATCTGTGGAGAGAAATCAGAGTTAACGTTTCGGGTCCAGTGTCCAACTCTTTACAAATGCTGCCAGACCTGCTGAGCATTTCTAGTAACGTCCGTTTTGGTTTCTGATTTACAGCATCTACAGATCTTTCGGTTTTCCCCAGACCATTGACTGGCCCTCTGGGGTAATAGTCCACCAATAATGCCATGAGGCCATCGCCTCCCCATTAAATTGTGATTTAACAAATTCTGATTTGAAGAGCTAGTTGATCTTCTGTGTAGCTTGCAAATAGGATATCAGGACAAAGTGAAGTATTCACATCTTGCACTTGGAGCTGAGGCATTCATTGAGCTGAAGAAACAGGACAAGGGCAGATATGAGGAGATAGAGGCCGAGTGGGGAAAAGGATATATACCTTAACATCACAGAGACCATCTAATGAACGTGGTGGCCTTGATGTGAATCAGGCAGACATTGAGAGGGAGGTTGCTTCCTCAGTAATCCTAATGCTCCACCAACAGATAATCCACCTGTTAGTGTTTTGACTTTCATACATGTTATATCAAAGTTAGTAATGAGGATTATTAACGTGAGAGTATTGACACAGGCTGAAATAGAAGGCCAAGCTAGAAAACTGAGATCAATTGCTGATGGGAACAATCCAGTTGTTTAAACAGAAAGTCAACGAACTTTAGGTGTGTACATTAGGACCCTCCCTGTTCTCTGTGTGGCCTTGCAAAAAAGATCAAATCTAATATTGACATGGTTGTTTGACAGCATGGGATTGAAGAAATATTGAATGCTGCTTTGGATTAAATCAGTCTAAAAAATTGAAAGGTGATGTTACTGTCCAGGCAGAATTTGCAGAAGAGAAACCAGACATGCTAAACACTACGGAAAGAGGATCTGTCTGGCTTCTACTGCCCATCAATCCCGTGGTGGTGGGTGGATGGGTGGCAATTTTTAGTTTAGTATTATGACCCAGGAAACCGTATTTTACAGGTGAGCAGAAACCATTGAGATGGCAGGAAAGATGGGGAAATATACCTTGCCTCTTAATTGAGCTTCCTAACTTAGGCATAGTCCAACAAAGTCATGATCTGTTGAGAGTGTGGATGTCATTCCATGTTACATGAAATAACAGCACGTAAACTGAAATGTTTGAAATGCCCTCAAAAGCCAAAACATATCCACCAAAATTCTGGAAAAGATGCCTTCGAGAAAATCTCCAATAGAGTCCTTAGAAAAAAAAATCCCATTCGTGACAATCGGTTTATGTTACTCAATGTCTTCATAAGGGATGTCCCTCTAATCCCAGGGATCATCTAGTGAACTATTGTTTCACCCTCTCCAGGTAAAATTTTCTCACTTGCATTCTACAATGCTTTTGAAATAAATACCAAATTCTTATCCCATCACCTTGCGCATTGATATCCCTTTGCAAATGCTTTGTGTCCTTCTTATTCCTGTCCAGTTTTCTTTTATCACAAGCAAACTTGAACAGCTTGCAATTGGTTCCCTTACGTAAGTCATTTCTATAGATTACACATATTTGAAGTCCATACACTGATCCTTGTGGCATTCCACCAGCTACACTCAGGCATTCTGAAAATGACCTGTTTATTTGTACTCTCTGTTTTCTCTTGATTAACCAATCTTCAATTGATGCTAATGTATTATCTAAATCCATGATGACTAATTTTCTTTGTAATACGCTACATGCACAAAAATATTAAAGTCCCAAAGATGCCATGCTCCTGCATTTGAGATATAACGGCCAAACTTGTGACACATGGCTTTTTTTGCTGTTTACAGTAACGAAACCAGACAGCAATAACACGAGCAGACAATTTCCCTTCCTAGTAAGTAGTAAGGGCGTGGAATGCCCTGCCTGCAAAAGTAGTAGACTCGTCAACTTTAAGGGCATTTAAATGGTCATTGGATAAACATATGGATGATAATTGAATAGTTTAGGTTAGATGGGCTTCAGATTGGTTTCAAATTGAGGGGTGATAGATATAGGACAGACGTCAGAGGTAGGTTCTTTACTCAGAGGGTAGTAAGGGCGTGGAATGCCCTGCCTGCAAAAGTAGTAGACTCGCCAACTTTAAGGGCATTTAAATGGTCATTGGATAAACATATGGATGATAATGGAATAGTTTAGGTTAGATGGGCTTCAGATTGGTTTCACAGGTCGGCGCAACATCGAGGGCCGAAGGGCCTGTACTGCGCTGTAATGTTCTATGTTCTATGTTCTATGTTCCAGATCAGTACCAGATGGACAATTGCTGAGTATCCTTACGATGTAAATTCCAGTTTCAAACACTTTGCCAGCTTTTTCTTTTAAAAGAAGTATGCGGAAATATTTACTTGCTGTGGCACCTATAGGGTGGCAAGGTGTCTCAGTGGCTAGCACTGCTGCCTCACAGCGCCAGGGACCCGGGTTTGATTCCACC